GTGACAATTGCATTCTTCAAGCATGTCTACAAGAAAGGTTAGAAAATAATGATGACTGGATTGTAAATATTAAGAATGAATTTTATAGGCTTGGTTTAGTAGAACTATTCGATAGTAATTGTATAAATAGTAACACAATTGATATTTTATATCAGAGAATGTGTGACGAATTTATCCAAAACATTATGTCAGATTTAGGTAAATCACCAAAATGTCTCATTTATCAACACCTGGTAGATAATTTTACCCTTCAGTCTTATTTATGTAAACCAATACATCTAAAATATAGAATAACAATTACCAGATTAAGACTATCTGCGCATAACTTAATGATTGAACAAGGAAGATATGATAAAACTTTGAGAAATAACAGAACATGTAGTCTCTGTCAATTAGGTAACATAGAAGATGAATTCCATTTTTGTGCTAAAATGTCCACATTACAACACATTAAGACAAAAATACATTAAATCCTACTACTCCCGAAGACCAAGCGTCTTCAAATTGGTACAGCTACTCAGTACACAGAATATAAAAGAATTATGTAATTTAGGAAAATTTTTGCAATTAGCGAATGCCTCAAGAACAGCATCTTTATCAATTTTATAGATTATCAGAAATATTATTATATGCTTTGTACATGTACGTTGTATGTTTATTCCATTATTGCACGTGTTAAGATGTATGTTTATTTCATTATTACATGTGTTATGTCTATGAGATGTATGTCTCTCGACTTCAATAAAACTGAAACTGATAGTATAGATAAAAAAATCTGTCATTCTTTACGTTTAAAATTGTTGTAAATAACTGGAGGGTCACTAGCTGTGACAGGGGCTTATGTCACGGTGTACTACCCTACACCCCTTATTGTAAAAACAACATGCTTACGGATTGGGCAGTTGGGGTTAGCCTATAATTGTTTCGTTTGAGAAAACCTAAAGTACCATATTCCCTGTGTTTTTATAAGTTAAAACTGTTTCTTACCTATTCAAAGGCTAATTATTATATCTACTAGATCTCTGCATTTCATTTCCTGAATTTAACATTGCAGACAATTTTTGTTATTATTTCGGAATCCGACAATTTTATTTTCATTTTCGATATTATTTATTTCTTTTTTTTTTCACATTTTCGGATTTTTTTAGGATAGCTTTACGGCAATTTAAGTTTAACATATATATGACAAAGATGGAAATTAGAATTTTAACAGGGTATTGTATAAAATTATATGCATTGGATAAAATTATTCATTTCAAATCACGTTTTTTCTATTCATTACATGCACTCTGTAATCAATATTAAGACTAGTTAAAAAGTAAAGGAAACAGTTAAGTGAAACTTCACATTCACAATACATGTACCTACAACTGTTCCAGGGTAAAATTAATTAAGTTTCTTTGACAGCTAAGAGCAAAATTAAGGCTTTTATTTGAATAAATTATCTAAAATATTTTACCTTCAGGATTTTTAAAACGGATGTCTGAATTCTTTTTTCATTGACGAAAAAGTACTGACATGAATGACAAATGTCGGAGATGAAAACTTTTAAAATGTAAAAACTTAAAAATGTCGGAAATTATAAGTTCAGAAAATTCCGGAAATGAAATGCGGCCAACTAAATAATAATTACTCCGGGACAAGGTAAATGCATGGGGTGCGTATCATTACCGCTACATTTTCAAAATTTTCATTACCGCTACAGAGTCATTACCGCTACAAAAAACCTTACATTACCGCTACATAAAAAGTATACATTGCCTCTTTCGTTAGCCAGCCACATATGCGTGTACAGTACAACCTATAAATGCATAAGACCCGTTTCCCCTGCTCACCACGGAAAGTGAAAGTAGGACTTTGAGCAGGATGGTTTTTTTCATTATTAAAATCAATTTTTTTCATAAATCACACACAAATAAGTCTGCAGTCGAAATTTAATTATTTAGCGTCATCTGAACATTTTGACCACAATTGAGAAGTTTGTTACAAATCGAGATATAAAGACCAAAATTATACAATGTGGTAGGGGTCAGCCGACTTTTGTGATTTCCTATTAATAGTAAATCGAGAACGGTCATTCATTTCAAAGTTTTTGTTTACTATGAGCCTAACTTTGTACAAACTTGTGTGAATGGCAAAACACGTATAATACATTTATAAAACTTCTGTGAAAGAAGGAAATTTGCACACGATTAGGCTGGTACTTAAAATATTAATTAAGGAAGTTCTAAACTCTGCACAATAAAAAAAAGTTCTAATCTCTAGTTTTCAAGTTACGAAAATAAACCCTGTCCAAAAATTTCCCTTTATGACATGAATATATCTGAAATACAGAAAGCGGACCCTTTCTGATAACTGCGTTTTAAGGTCCGCCCTCTCTATTTTTCTAGTTTTCAAGCTACGAAAATAAACCTGTCTAAAAATTTTCCTTTATAACATATAAATATATGAAATACAGAGGGCGCATAGTGTTTCACAAACACATCTTGTTTATTTCTCGTATTTGTTGTATCGGGTTACTGAAATGTATATATTCTGTGTGATAGATGAGCATTAAATTTTAAATTAGTATAAAAAACAAAGACCTGCCCATTGGTTTGGGTATCAGTAGACAAAAAATACGAACTGTTGGTAGATTGTACAAGGTCACTATGCCGACATAGAATACTGCAAATAAGATTGTTAAAATCTCTGTAACATCAACGTATTACGTAATCTCAGACTGGTATTTGGAATTGGAAATTCAGGGTGCATGAACATCATATGCAAGATATACTGGATATAACTAAATGTATAAGCGAAGTTGACGATGTTTCTGCAAAACCTAGGTACCGAATTTCGTAAGTGCACGCTAGCGTTTTTGTAAAATCGTTATATATTTTTTTTTCATCTATTGTGTCGTTTTACTTATTCATGAAAGATGTCTTCAAATTGTTCGATTTTTATTTTACAAAAAAAAAAAAAAAATACTTTATGTATTCTTATGCTTATAGGCAAGCTCACCGCAGCTTGTTTTTGCTAATTTTGTATAAGTCAAATAAAACACTTTCATGGAGATGAATAATGTCATTTATTAAAATGACGGTATAAATGTAAACAATTTACATCATGTATTTTGCCTTTAGGACCATTACACGCTTAGTTTGGACTTACAGTAAGGCGTGGCATTCTCGGCTTTACCTAATTGGCTTCTGAAATTTATACAGCTTCCCTTCACGGTTGAAATATACATATGATAGAAATGCTGCCGAATGTCAGCTGGTGTAGTAAATAGCCAATTAAAAGTTCTGTCATGGCACAGAGGCGGGGCATAAGTCATCTCATCGTTGTCAACAACAATTTTTTTAGTTCCTGGTGTTATTAATTTCTTAACCAATGATAATCTACCAGTATTCGCCATTACGTAGCGCCGAGAATGCCACGCCCTACTGAAAGTCCAACGTAAGAAGAAAATCGTCCAAATATCCCCAAGTTTAAGGAATCGTTGCAGATATCTGTCAGCAATTAGGATGCACTTAATCGTGAACATACTAACGACTTAATTGCTTTTTCCTCAAACCGCCTTCCAAACTCAAAACATTTATTTAAAAATAAGCTGTGCAATTTGAACACCACTGAGTAGCTGACTCTGGAAATAGTTTTTGATTGAATCCTCTAGAATAAATATAAGTGTTTGGTGTTTTTTTAAAGTGTTCTCACAAAATACTGTAGCGCAAGGATGCTCTGAGCGTTTGAAATAATGAACACTTTCAATCAATTCACACACCATTTCTATGGATTCTTAAATGAATTTTTAGAGGCATATTTGAACAAAAAACCCAATATCTATAAGGCTGGCTTAAGATTACTCTTAACCATACCCAGTTTTTGTGAATTTTAGCGTGATTTCTTGTGCAAAACAAATTAATGAAATGACTTTAAAATTTGAAATTAAATGTTGGACCGTTTTCTACTTCTTCGGGTAAAGGTACATCTGTAACAAAACATTAAATATTACACATTCATTGCATCGTCGTGAGGGATATATGAAGATTTATTCAGCCAAGAAAAATCATATTCTCCGAGGGCTTAGCCCATGTAAGGGGAAATATAATTTTGATATTTCTTGGCTGGATAAAGCTTCATGTTTCTCGAACATTCATGCAATGAATAATTATTGCTTATTAACACGACACAAGCAAAAATTTCTAGAGAATCATAAACTTTCAAATTCGGCATCGCATTTAAATTAATTTTGATATTTAAGGTAAAGTTACTGAAAAAAAAATTAGCTTTCACACATCACACTCAAACGATATAATCAGTAATTTTGTAAGATGGACCATGAGGCTATTACATTTGACGTCTTAGATATTCTTTTAAAAAGTCTCATTCAAAGAACGATAACTATTGCAGGAAAATGAAATAAGTATCCGAAGACGTGCACGTGGAGCATGATGAATATAACGAAAAGCATGCCGAGGACAGGGAAATATGAAGTTTAATTGCCCGATCACGTGAAAATTTATCTCTAACCAATCAGATAACGCGTTGTGTAGAATGATTTTAATGGTGTTTAATAATATTTATTGTCTTGAATTTCCAATTAAAAATGGATTTATTTATTCGTAAAATTAGCACCTCGAACTATACGGAAAACCCATGAATATATTTAAAAGGGTCGTTACTCTTATTACAGAAAATAAATTTTATGGGTAGTTTCAATGTAAAATATTAGAAACATCGAAACGTTAACGTTGCGCGTCAACCATAAATATGGTAATTACCAGCTATTGACCTGTTAGACGTAAAGATATAGACGACAATCACGTTAAACCACTGAATGTGCCATTTATCAATCCGAGGGAATATCAATAGAAATAATCCCCAAAGCTCAAAGCTCGTTCACTGTGCCTGGTATTTATTACTAAAAGATGGTAAACCTTACAGATATTTTAAATATGTCTTTCAACAGGAATTGCTAATCGAAAATTAGTGCACTAAAATAGCAAACATTTATTTTGATTTCCTTTCTAGGCTGGTCCACAGTGTTTGGTAACCGTTCCTGTTACTATAACTCGTACACTTCTTCCTACTACTGTTACTACTACTACTACTACGATTACCACTACACTTACGAGTACAATTACAGCTACCCATCGGTGGAGTCCAGAGTAATGCGGATCTCACGTAGAGTGAGGTAAAAAATATATAACTTTTGTTTCTAGTGAAAGGTTTCTTAGAGTAAATTTATCAATTTATCTTTTACAATAATTTAATCAGCACTGATTGGATATATATAAGGATTCAAGTGCCCACATGTTGGATAAGTCCAGCGATCTGATACTAAAAAATCAAATACACAGAATTTGGCCACCTATGAATGAAGGAAATAAATTGATTAAATGTATTCTTATTTATTTCTTATTTATTTAGGAAAACTCGTTCCCAGTTTTAGAAATTTTTTAAACAACAAATTTATTTCCTTGACTTTATTTAGTTGAAAAAAAAACCCACACTTTTGAAAGCATTTAAAAATATTTTCCAAATGCAATCGAAAAATAAATATTACTCTGGATTGTGTATGCTATTAGAATCTCGTCATCAAAAAATACATCTGCTTGTAATTCAACAGAATTGCTTCTGATCACGTTTTGATTTTTTGAACATAAAGATCTGGAATCTTATACATTACTTCTCATAAATTACGTGAACATGTAAAAAAAAAAATCATATTTGAACCTTAATCCATATTACTCTCTGCCCCTGTATTTCAGTTTCCATACCTTGTAAGAAATCCCCTTCAAAATATTCGAATGTCATTCCTGGTACCCTTCATTTTTATCCCACCTTCTTTCTAAACCAATTGAATAAAATAAAGTAATTTAAGCAACAAGAAGGCCCTCGATCTACTTGTAAATCTCGACTTAAATACTCACTAATGTCTTTCATATTCAGTATTTGATGACGGTTTCTCTAAACGCAGTCTTATTTTTAAAGTATTTAAGAAATACATGTATTGTTCGACTAGATTTCGAAAAAGATCCGATCAGATTTCTAAACTTGACATAATCTGACATACGAGGGTTGTCCCAAAATTTCGTAGACTGAGCTCATATCTTTTGAAGAAATTAATGTCTCTTTGTAAAATTTTCAGGGTGGATAGAGCGTGTTCTTGGCAGATAAATTTCGAAGTTTTATCATGTTTACTTGAAAACATTTTGAGTAATAACATTTAAATTGATATCGTTCTCTAACACCCGGAGCAATCTGCAACGTCAAAAAAATACAAATGTCAACGGTTCAAATTTTTGGAGAAAATATTTCAATTACCAAAATCAAATTCTTAAAATAAACGAAACGGTTATAGTTATGAATATGAAATATCTTAATTACTACATGTATGATATGATCAAACATTAAAATATGTAAACAAAGTATATGCATGTACAATTGTGAAATGATAATAATTTGAAAACGCTAAATTTCTTTGGACTTTTCGTCTGTTTTCTCTAATGGAGTTGCACAATGGAACCCTTGCCCATTTCTTAGCCCTGTCTTTTATATTAGTTACTATTATTCGCATATACATAGAGAAACCGTTTAAATCATTTTAAATATTAAGGACGAGAAAAAGTTTCCTACTCTACTAAACATTTGTGACTGGTACATTTCTGTGAGAGTGAATTCATGGTCCAGTGCGCCGCCCGTGCCAACGCAGCCGCAATTTTTTCAAAAAGTCAGATTTCAACCCCATGTATGTAAAAAAGTTATAAAGTTCATATTTATCAAAGCATGAATACCAAAATTTGAGGAAATATAGTTACATATAATAAAACAGTATAATTTAGAATTTGCATTTCTATTTACAAAAAATACAGGGTAGTAATTACTTTTCCGTAAGATTTTAAATATAATATACCAAATTTTAATTGCAGCTTTTGGGTATTGCGCCGCCATCCTACACCAGACAATGAAATGTGTCTTTTAAATTGGAATAATTTGTGTAGTTACTCTATATTTGTCCATAAATTTATTAGATAGTGTTGGTTTGATCTATATACGAAGTTTCATTAATGTATGACATTGGGTTCATATAAAAAAAAAAAAAAAAAAAAAAAAAAAAAAAAAAAACGCTTGTCTACGGAATTTTGGGACAAACCTCGTACATGTACTTACTTCTTCATGAAAAAACTTTATACTTTCCTTTCTAAAGAACTGCGCATGATAACTCTAGATTCCAATCTCTAATGCCATGACTAAAATTTCGTATACAATAAATATATCTTGAACTATTTTTTTTGACAAAGCACCAATGTCCACTAACTGTTCTAGCTAGTACTATGACAACCGTCATATGTTCATTTTCACGGCCACATTATAACTATTTAGGAGCATTACGTCAGTTTATCCACAGTGCTATGAGAGCGTAACGTTAATTGCCACAAACATTACACAACGTGGTCATACTGTGTTTGTATATCGTCACTGCTGATTGGACTATGTACTATGATTCTTATACTACAAAGTTAAAGATATGAATGGGTCAGTATTTCTTTCGAGTCTAATGTGGGAAATTTTTAAAAAGTAACTTTAAGTCTGACGAAACCTTAGACAAGTCTTATCTTCGCATATTTTCGTAAAATAGCAAAAAATATCCATAATTAACTGTTCTTGTAAACTGTAAACTTTTTCAAAATGAGTTGAAAAATAAGTAAATAAAAAATTGTAATATTGGCAATTCAATCAAATTCTATTAGGATTCTATATCGTACACCATGTTCTGATACTCGTATCTTGCGCAACTGCATAAAATACGTAAAAGACTGGTTACTTTAGCAATACCTAAAAAAAAGACTCGCGAAAAAAATTATATTATTTAAAGCCACTTAATCCGAAACAGGCACATATTGTCTTACACAATAAAAGTACGTCATTACATAGAAAGTAGATAAAAATAGATAATGAAACTGATTTAATATTTTATTACAACAATCCTTAAAAGGAAAACATAGATAAAAAACCTTACTGACAAACAGAAGTTCCTGACGGGAAGTTAAGATCTGTCGTGAAGTCACCTTTGAAAAAAATAATTGTATTGGTTATATCTAAATTATGAAGAACAAACCCGAGTATTTTTTTTCATTAGTAGAAGCCTTAGTCATAATATATCTTATAAAAATTAAGAAAGTAATTGAATATAATCCACAGTAATTGAATATTAATATGCACACTTAAAAGAATAAAAGAAAATCAGATATTTTTAAAGATTTTTTTAAAGAAAGTTTTGTAACGAAGCTAAAAAGTAAAAAAAAATTGTCCAAGTACAGGTATGAGACTTACTTTTGTGAAAAAAAGTTCTGGTTTGTTCTTCATAATGAGATATATGGTTAAATTTAATTTTCACGCCATTGCAAATAGATATCGTCATAGGATTATTTTTTGTGTGACCCAACAAAAATTATTTTTTTTAACTTTTGAATTTTGGTATCTTTTAAAAGAATAAGACTTTTGGGATATAATTTGACATAAGTTGAAACAATTTATGGACAATTATTTTTTAAGAAGAAAAACGAATATGTCTTTTCGCGATTAGAATCGGACTTAGCGACTTTAAGAACATGTCATCTACCTTAAAGAAAATATCTCGACATCTAGTGCTGTAAAACATTTCTCCTTGGACCTTTTCTTTCTAAAACTATTCCATCTTTTCCCTTAATCATTACGTATATTACCCAGTCATTACATCTTACCTATCTATTTCATATCTTACCTTTACAAAAAAAATACGAATTAGCCACTTAAGGAGTACCATATTCACATAGTCCGAAGGGAAAAGTTAATATGATACTTCGAAGGTGACTAAATCTGTATCTTACATGTACCTATAAATTAAATATTTTACCTAACCATTGTATAGCTTACCTTTTCAATACATACTATACCTATCCATTACATACTATACCTTTCCATCACATATCCTACCTATCCATTACATATCCTACGTATCCATTACATATCCTGCGTATCCATTACATATCTTACCTATCCATTATATATTTCTTACCTATCCATTATATTTCTTACCTATCCATTACATACTATACCTATCCATAAAGGATATGGAGATAAAGAACAGTATTCAATATCAAAGTCCATAAAACAATACGAAATGGGAGCAAAGCAAACACGGACCTTACATATCTTATCTATCGTTAAAATATCTTGTCTATTCATTACATACCTTACTTATCCATTCCATATTTCACTTATCCATGTCATATCTTATAATGTGTTACTGTTGTCGTATCGCCTTTTAAGATGACCGCACTTTTATTGGGATATTAGTATTACTTGCTCGCTAATGAGAGAAACTTAATGACTTTGCTTCCCGTCACCAGGTCCAGTTAAGGTCTGGGTGCACTGTAATAAAGAAAAAGTGGATGAAATTACAAAGATGCATCATTATTCACGTCTCCGAATAAAACGACCAAGTAGCGGGCGCAATTCCATTCGAAGATCCACGCATTCCGTAAATCATTTTTTCCAATCAAATTAGTTTTTCGTTGTTAATTTGCATAAATAGTGACCGGAAACTCTTAGTTTGAAAAATCATGTGACCTGATCTGACCATTACAGTGCACCTTAGCATTTGACATGGTACTTAACAAGTTAAACCCCTAACAGTAGATTAATGGATTTTACTATATGTTATAGAATTTTTGACATTAGGTAAAAAGGATGAAAGAGACCATATTTAAGAAATGTAAAAACTAACACCTCACCTATCTACAAATTACTGCAGCTGTACTCTTATTTCCAACAAAATTACATAATTGTTAAACAATTTACTAATCACGCATGCCGAAAATTCTGAGAAACATAAATTACTTATTTTAGACAATTTCCTATTATACAAATTATCTATTTTTTCTTCAAAGTCATTCCTTGTTTTTATCAAATAAAATTAGCAATTTTTTACTTATACGAGGGGTGATCAAAACGTTCGCGAACTATCTCTTTATTTAAAAAAAAAAAAACGCAATTCAGATCAGAATGAAATTAGGCTCACCTATAGTCATGCACATGTACCATAAATAGACTATGAAAAGAAATCATTTTCTCCATCATTATGACGTCACAATGTGCAAATAACGTCAATATGTAGGTGACTCGTGACGAAAAATGGTTGTCACAGTTTTACTCGAGAACAAACGACTGTAAAGTTTAACGTATACACGTATACTGGAATTTCCTTTAAAGTATCTTATAATAATTTGTACAAGTTTTATGAAGACAATAGACTTTCCAGACATTTAATCATAAATTGGATTGATTGTTTTGGTAAAGGGAGGGAGATGGTTAACAATGACGTTTGTTTTGTAGCCCAGCGAAAGCTAGTTGAAGAAGAGGTGTGTCCTTTGTTTGGATAATGAAAGATTGCAAAGTTAAAGTTAGAAAAGTAGTTGAATATCTGAACAACATTAATATTATTAAATCCCGAAAATATCGTGTAATTTAAATTGTTAAAATATTAAATATGATAAAAGCAAGGCTCCCACAACTTTATCCATACTGAATAAAAGACGATCTTAAGACAAAAGAATCGGATTATGATGGTCACCATGGTCTTTCTAGAAAAAGATATCCTTATCCAACATTCCTATTTTCGAGATTTAGTCATTTCTGACGAATGGACTGTTAAACTTGCATGGTAAGAAATATAAGATTCGGAAAAATATTTTAGTGTCTATGAACTCAACAGAATGCTTCAGAAAATGTCACGTGACCACCAGTATCACGTGATTCGTGCATGGGCAGAAAAATGGCAGATACACTGTATGCATTAAAATCAGAGAAGTTAAATTTAAAAAATAATGAACACAGAAAAAAAACTTGTTTTATGTTGTTCCCGGACATTTTGATCACCCCTCGTATTTCAAATTGTATCAGGAAATTTATTTAAAAAATGAAATCTTGACTGTTGGAGGGTTGATCCAAAAGTTCAGGGAATTTCTTCATATTCTATTTATTTTTAAGTGAAATTGTTTGAAAATTACACATGAGAATATAGACACTTGTTAAATACTTTAAATAAAATAAAACATTTTAAATATTTATGATAGTAACTCTATGGTAGTTGCCATAGAAACGGTTGTTTGGAAATGCGGGGGAGACATTAACGTGTGTATTATCATTTTAAATCTTAATACGTGAAATTTGAATAAAACAGTCCTATGTGGTAACGAAAATTAGAACGAAAATTATGTCATTATTTCGATTGCTTGATCTTTTATAAACCTTTGTGTGAGAGTTTTATTGATTTTACTGGATATTTTAGTTTATTGGTTGATGATGTATTGTTCATCTTTCAGTTGTTAGACAACGTCAAATTTGGTCAAGTCATCAGTTTTGTGAAAATCCAGAGATTACTCTGACTTAAACGCGTATATTATTGACATAGGCTGGGGGGAAATGCATTTAGTTTCTGGTTTTCCAGTGGCATAAATATAGAACTTCCATGGACATTAACTAAAGGTGTGACCGCCTTTTGGAGGCTCTGTTTTAAATGTTAACCCCCTAGACAAATTAAAAGTATTAATGGACTTTGTCGGCTGACGTACTGCTCTTGACATTGTTACTGAAATTGGAACATCATATGGAAAGATAGGGAGTATCTTGAAATATGAGTGAAAAATGAAAATAAGTTGGTACGAACCGATACCAAGGCTTTTCTTGAGAGAAAAAAGATGAAGAAAAAAGCAGCATTCTGTAGAATTACTTAATAGTCGAATTGGACATTAGGGTGAGATGCCTCTATAACCTGACGTGACATACCTAACTTCACGTAACGTCAAAGTCTCCCCCGGGTTTCACAACTATCCATTTTCAGAAAGCTCGTGTGACCTTATTGGTAATTGGAAAGTGGTGAAATTTTCCAATATTGTTGCATTATGACTCTATATTTTGAATATGCCTGTTGTTTGGTTTCATCTAATCACGATAAATTTTTTAAAAGAAATTCTACGAACTTTTGGATCAACTCTCGTATAATTCCTACGAACCAATAAAATGATAAAACTACAATATAATAGTACATGTCCATTATCCACATACATGTTTAACAAAATTAAAATATATCGATTGACTAAAATTAAAGGTGGGATTTCACCTTTAATTATAACTGTCCTTTCTGACATATTTTATTTTATCAAATGAAATCTGCAACGTGACTATTTTCGTGTTGCAGATTTTATTTGACAAAAAAAATGTCAGAAAGGACACTATCCATTACATACATTATATCATCAGTAATGAAATAATACTGTTTAACACAGACTTGTGAATGTAGAAATCCTTGGGGTCATATATGGCTCCCTAGCTGGATTTGCCACGTTGGTTGGACTTACCGTCTGTCTGTGTATGAAATGCAGAAAAACAACATCCAATCAGGGTGCAGTTCTCTATGAAACCGTTGCAAATGTTGGAACAGGTGTTCAAAGACGTGAGTGTGATTTATCTTTAAAAACAAATAATCATTGTTTTCCTTATTTATCCACTACCTATAAAGGCACTTCAGCGTAGTCAGCACCAATTTTTCAATCAGTTTATTTATGGTCATTAACATATTTAAAACACGGTATTGTCGCTAGCAATAAGGCTAAAAATAGAAAAGAAATATATAGAGAAAGACCTCCCTATCTTCCTATATAGGCAAGATTTACTTTATATATAAATTGCTCTAACTATTTGTTACACTTGAAAGGGATATGGACACAGTTTCAGCTAAAAAGAAAATTCAAATTTATTTTTCTATTTTTTGTGTATATGCAAATACTTTATTAAGGTGTTTTATTGATTATCAAATTTTGAATTTCAGTTGTCGAAATACAATACAGATTTATGGTTCAAAACCTTTGTTATGTAAATAAAGCGCATACCATGTTTTTTTTACATAAGTTAAATATATCAATATATGTTAGTTCAAAGCAATTATTTGTTTTTAATAAAGACGTTAATTCTAAGTACGATTAAACATTTTCTAGGGGTTTGCTGACTCTCGTTTTGTTATAAATATGCAAATTTCTATATGTAAACAAAAACAGGGAATGGGCCTTGTTTATATTATGAAGAATTTTCAGTTTCATTAATTTCTCCTTTGTAAAGCAAATCACGTTCAAATTTTTGATGATCATTTAAATTGCGTAAATAAGGAATTGTAAACATTAAAATTGGATTCAAAAAATTTAAATCAGATGAAACTGTGTCTATGTCCCTTTAAAGGCAAATAAGAAAGGAACTGCAGCAAATCCTTTTTGATTTATGCAAAAAAACTTTTAAAAAGTCTGATTTGTACAAGGCAATGAAATGGTAAATGAGTCCTTTAGCATTTCTTTTCTCTATATTGTACAGCGATACAATCTTACAATCAGGAAGGAGTGTACACACCTCTTCCTGTTCAGCAGCAGACACCTGGTGAATTCGAAATGGTTTCTATTGCTCTGCCTCCCCAACACAGTGCGCCACCTACCGTAAATCAAGATCCGCAACGGAACTAGCATTTTCCTTATAGTGCTGCTGCATCACCATTCAGCTAAAACAGCCTTCACTCATTTTTATGTCCCTGTAATCGAAGATTCGGGGCTATATAGTTTTTGTCGTTTCCGTCCGTCTCTCTGTCTCTCTGTCTGTCTGTCTGTTTGTTTTGTCCGCAGACAAACATTGTAGCATTTTCCCATTACTTTTGACTTAGTGGAGCTATGGCTTTCATATTTCACATGCGTATTCCTTGTTGCAAGACCATTCTTTACCACCAGATTTGACCTTTTGACCATGACCTTGTAGTTTGAACTACTTTTTAAATCTTTAACCTTGGCCATAATATTTTTTGAACGGTTAGAGCTAAGGCTTCCATACTTCACATATGTAAACCTTGTAACATTAGATCTTCCTTAAGAAATCAACAACTTTGAACCTTAGATCTTGGAGTTTAACTTATTTTTCAAAAAATTATCCTTGGGCATAACTTTTGAAAAGGTGGTGCTAGGGCTTTCATACATCACAACTGTATTTCTTATGAATAAACCCTACTTTGGGTAACAAAATATTTAATTTGTATTTAAGAAAAGTTTAATCTTTGCTATGTTGCCATACGGGGACATAATTGTTTCACAAACACATCTTGTTATTCTCCTGATTACATATATCTCCGTTCTTTGTATCTTGTCATTTATCATGTTTATGTTATCAATTTTTCATTAATTTTTAAACACATTTTTTGTACAAACCGTTATAAACCATTTATGTACATTCTTTTTACCAATACTTTTATTATTTATGTGGAATTAATATTTTGTAATTTCTAATTAATAGTATGTTTTTGTTTTGAGTTGCGGTGGAACATTGATCATACATGTAAATAAATTCAAATTGAAAAACAAGCAAAACTAACATGAATGGTTCCTTAACATTGTTTTTTAAAAACTCCTTTTTGTCTTTTCAAAGGTAATTTAATTTTTTTTTCAGATAGACTGGGACACAAGTAGATAATCTACTAAGTACAAGTAAACAAGTAATTAGTGATGCTCTTCACATGCTTCAACACAATTGAAAAAGAATTAATACACATCAACTGATAAATACATGTATAACAACAATACATGTAGCAACAACAATACATGTAGCAACAACAACAATACATGTAGCAACAACAATACATGTAGCATACAACAATACATGTAGCAACAACAACAATACATGTAGCAACAACAACAATACATGTAGCAACAAAAAATCCAATATAATTTACCTAGAAGCATGTCAAGATGCGTAGAATTCAAACATTCTTCAATTTCAGACAAGATGAATTATTATCAATTAAATGAATAATTTTAGAGTTATTGTATATTTAAAGAGTTTATTTATTTTTTCCTTTCTATTGCTACGATGTATACAATGTATGTAGTAGACCACATGTACATATGTTTTTTTTAATTTTGGCAATTTTACAAAATGTTATATTTAAAGAGGTCTATCTAAGTTACTGAACTTGTGTCCGATCCTTTTGACTCAATAAAATATGTTCAGCTCAATTCACTTATTGTTCCCGAAGGATTGACGGACATCCTCAATTAACAAGCAATTGAGTTCGGGATTTTTATTAGTTAAAAAAATACATTGATTCGATTTCTCTTTCCCCTACTTTCACATATTTTATAAGCATACGTGTACCAAGTGCATTTTTTTTATTTAAAAGAGAATGTTGTACAAGAGCTTTAAATGTCCTCTATGTTTACCCTAGGAAAACAATAATAAATCCCAATGCACACCTGAGTTATCTCTGAAATCTAAATTTAAAATCACACCTAAAACAAGGAAGTTAAAATGTGACAAGGAAATTTAACAAACATCAAGTCAAGAACTCGTTATATTCTAACCATGGACTGGAAACTATTGACTGTTGTCTTTGCTCATATTCTAGGTAAGAATTTTTCTTTTCAGTTAGAACTAAATTCAGAGGGTCTTCCGAGTTTTCTTTACAGTCGAAGACCCATTAATTACACAGGTACCTGCCGAGTGGATGGTGTACTTTTAGTATCCGCCAACCCATGCCCCCTTTTCTAGTTTCTGAGAACTATTAGACATGAAAATAGAATGATTCCCAGCCTATATTCTGCTATAAAATTTCGATTTTTATAAACTTCTAATTGGAAAGGGGAAGGGCGGGTTACACAATCCATTCATCAGGTGCCTGTGCATATTAGTCATAAGATATTTGTATACAAAAGTTTTTACTTTATTATGCTGGATAGATAAGCAGTAAACATATGCGAGTTTCTACAAGTCTGCGTACATGTCATAATCGCTTAAACATGAAAAGGAATTTGCGGATGGATGATACGGTAAAGTTATGGGTAGATTCCTATAAAGTCTAAATCAATATCGAATTGATGTTGTAAAATTTTTAAAAGAAATGAAAATTTTTGAAAAGAGATTATACATATTATAATTTGTTATTCGTTGTCGTATAATTTGTAAAATAAAATTTTATTGTCCTTCAAATCCCATAATAAAAGTTCAAACATGCTGAATTTGTGGCCCATATATACCTTTAAATGTAATGATATCTATCATAAATAAAGTAATGTTACATGAAGTCAAAACATTATAAAAAGAGAGAAAAATGTTTTTTTTAAAGAATTTAAATTAATTATACATGTACCTTTCATTAAATGAATAATTATCAAAGATTGGCTTAATTCCATTGTACCCATCTTAAATTCATTTGAAGTTATAGGAATAATTGAGTTCTAGATAGTGCAAATCTATAAATCAACTGTACCTATCTATTTGGCCGTGGTACACTAAATGGTACAGCTTCAAATTATTTAGACATATGAACATTGTTATCTTTAACTAGTACATGTACAAAACGTCTAAAATTACTCTTAGATAATGTATTTGACTATGGAATGGTGCATCTACCTCATCTATGAATAAGGTTTATAAATGTAGATATGTAAAGTTAGCTACTAGTAACTGGCTACTAGTAGCTGGCTACGACAAGTGGTAAAGTTAGCTACTAGAAGCTGGCTACGAGAAGTAAGTAAATTTGGCTACTAGTAACTGGCTACTAGTAGCTGGCTACGAGAAGTATGTAAAGTTGGCTACAATAACTGGCTACTAGTAGCTGGCTACGACAAGCATGTAGTAATAAACTCAGCTACTAGTACCTTTTGTTTAGAATTATGCTATTTTTGGAGACAAATGTTGATATTTTTGAAGTAGCTGGTTTGTTACCTCGCTGATATCAACTGATATTGCTGATAAAAATAATCTCTAAGATATTCCACATGATCTGGCAGTAAAGTTACCAAGATATCGGTAGTAATAAACTCAGCTACTAGTACCTTTTGTCTAGAATTATGCTATTTTTGTAGACAAATGTTGATATTTTTTAAGAAGTCGGTTTTTACCTCGCTGATATCAACTGATATTGCTGATAAAAATAATCTCAAATATTTTCCTTATCAGCTGGCACTAAATTTACCAAGAAATCATTAAAAATAAACTCAGCTACTGGTACCTTTTGTTTACAACTATGCTATTTTTGGAGATAAATTTTGATATTCTTGAAGTGGCAGGATTTTTACATCGCTGATATCATGTGGAATATCATAGAGATTGACTTTAACCAGCAATATCAGTTTATATCAGCGACATAAAAAACCAGCTACTTCAAAAATATCAACATTTGTCTCCAAAAATAGCATAATTTGAAAAAAAGGTACCAGTAGCTGAGTTTATTACTACCGATATCTTGGTAACTTTACTGCCAGATCATGTGGAATATCTTAGAGATTATTTTTATCAGCAATATCAGTTGATATCAGCGAGGTAACAAACCAGCTACTTTAAAAATATCAACATTTGTCTCAAAAAATGGCATAATTCTAAACAAAAGGTACCAGTAGCTGAGTTCATTAGTAACGATATCTTGGTAACTTTACTGCCAGATCATGTGGAATATCTTAGAGATTATTTTATCAACAACATCAGTTGATATCAGCGAGGTAACAAACCAGCTACTTTAAAAATATCAACATTTGTCTCCAAAAATAGCATAATTTGAAACAAAAGGTACCAGTAGCTGAGTTCATTAGTAACGATATCTTGGTAACTTTACTGCATGATCATGTGGAATATCTTAGAGATTATTTTTATCGGCAATATCAGTTGATATCAGCGAGGTAACAAACCAGCTACCCCAAAAATATCAACATTTGTCTCCAAAAATAGCATAATTTGAAACAAAAGGTACCAGTAGCTGAGTTCATTAGTAACGATATCTTGGTAACTTTACTGCATGATCATGTGGAATATCTTAGAGATTATTTTTATCAGCAATATCAGTTGATATCAGCAAGGTAACAAACCAGCTGCTTTAAAAGTATCAACATTTGTCTCCCAAATAGCATAATTCTAGACAAAAGGTACTAGTAGCTGAGTTTATTACTACCGATATCTTGGTAACTTCAGTGCCATATTATGTTGAAAAGCTCAGAGATTGTTTTTTTCAACACTATCAGTGGATATCAGCGGGTGTTGCTAAAACGCGGAACGGAAAACGGAACGGAAAGCGGAATATATTAGTATAGATTAAATCACTTACAGTACACAAATTTTGTCATAAACAATATATTTTAAACACATTCAATCTCATATTATCAAAAATAAGTTGATTTATTCATGTTCACCCTTTCTTATTGACAAACAAGTTGATGAAACAAGAATATCTGCCGTCTCGTTTAATTAAAGACAACATCTCGTAAGTTCTATGGTAGATACAATGACCATGTCAGCAAATACAATTTATCATTGAGTCAAATGCTGACTGACGTTTTTCATACTAATTGTTAGTTAATTTTTTATACACTGAATTGACGACGGATTTTCCCGTTTTTTCCCGATTATGACAAGGAGCATGCGGCGGGTCTGACCGGTCGGCAGGTGATGCTCACTCCTCCATGGCACCTGATCCCACCTCTGATGTTTTGGAGGTCCGTGTTTGCTCTGCTCCTATGTTTGTATTGTTGGAGTTTTGATATTGAATACTGTTCTTATCTCCATACCATTCATTCATGAAATATACTGACGTAGCAGTGACATAGAATTGAATTTGTCAGTGTGTGTGTGTGGGGGGGGCGATAAACTTATCTGAAAAGAATTTGACAAGCGAAAAAAAAAAACACAAATATATGATTCGGGAAGGGGAATCAGTTCCCACTCCAATGTTATTCAATACTTTTTGTACACTTAATTACTTCTTTAATTAACAAATTGTGTAGGTTGCAATAAACCTTTCTATAGTAAGAAAAACGTTATGCCTTGAAAGGGGGAGATATTTGATAATATTATATATCATATAGACAAATCACGTTTAAAGAGAAAGAAAATACTTAAACAATTCCTAAGACTACGATTAGAGCAGAACTTTCCGGCAAGCTCGGATTAGCACCTCCAATACGTAAAGTTCATTTGTTGTTTTCTGTGTTAAAAATGTAGCATCTTTTCATTTCATGAAGTTATAGTTTGTATGTGGTACATGCATGTGTGCGTGTGTAAGGGGGAGGGCAGGATGGATTTGAATGTTGAAACATTTGTGTTTATTTTTCCGTTCTTTGGAAAGGTCTGGAAAATTGCAAAAGGTCTGCCCTTCCCCTTTTGATATTATAGCTCTAAACAACTTTTTTCACTTGAAATTTAAATGTTCATTGAAACCCAACAGTTTTTGTTAATGCAATGTAGTAAGATTGTGTTTAAAAAGTACTAAAAGATGTTGGACTTAGAACATCCCCCCCTTCTTCGAACAAAAATTGTCTTTTCCGCTTGTCAAACTCTTTTCAAGTAAGTTTACCCCCCCCCACTTTCAAATTCGATTCTACGTCACTGCTATGTCAGCGATTTTCGTGAATAAGAGACTGAACATGACATAACAACCTGTTTTTAATAATAGGAGATTTAATATGAATAAAATATATCGTTTATAATAAAATTTTGCATTTTAAGTGATTAAATATAAAATTAAATATTCCGTATTCCGTTCCGCTTTCCGTTCCGTTTTCCGTTCCGCGTTTTAGCAACACCCGATATCAGCGGTGTAAAATTCCAGGTACTTCAAGAATATCAACATTTGTATCCCAAGTTTGATTAATTTTACACAAAAGATACTAGACGGTTATTCTTATAAGGTTCAAGTCATTTACTAGTAGCCAACTTTACATGCTTGTCGTAACCAGCTACTAGTAACCAGTTACTAGTAGCCAACTTTACATACTTCTCGTAGCCAGCTACTAGTAGCCAGTTACTAGTAGCCAAATTTACTTACTTCTCGTAGCCAGCTACTAGTAGCTAACTTAAACACTTGTCGTAGCCAGCTACTAGTAGCCAGTTACAAGTAGCTAACTTTACACATCTTATAAATGTTATGATTGGAGAAAAGGGGCGCTTACTCATCCTAGGCATCCCACCCCAAATCGGAACTCCTCGGATGTTGAGTTAGTGAAACATCTGAGAAGTTCCGATTGATCTGACCCCAACTCAGGAACTTCCAGTGCTGTGTGTTTTATGCTCTCTTCATTTGTGTTGTTAAGAGATTCTTTGATATCGATCTCAGTTCGTTTTCTCCACCTTTTTTATTCACCAAGATCTCAGCTGAGGGTACATGTACATATGTAGCCTTTATTTCTGTTTCTTAGTTTTATAATGTTGTGGAAATATTATAATAAACATAGTAATTGTTAAAATTATTCAGAAATTGCTTTTTACTAAAATGGTATACTTCAATTGAAAATATTAAATATATAATAATATCACTCTCATGAATATATGTCTACGTTATCTGGTTTGTTAATATACAATATAAAATATAATATAAAATATGGTTTGAAGAAAAGAAATTCAATGCATTAAAAATGCATGATTTTATTTTTCGTTTAGGTTTGTCCACTGTGTCTGGTTCCTGCTACTATAACTCGTATACTTCCAAGTACTACTGTTACTATGACTATAGTAGCTACGATTATTACTACAGATACTACTACAGTAACTACTCCTATACACTGGGGTAAGAAATAAATCTCGTTGTTTTTTTTTTTACAGATTTAGTGGTGAAAATGGTTTTGAAAAATTTTAAGGACACAACTTATTATATGTATATGCTTGTTTGTTTTTACTATTCAATCAGCATTAGTTGGATATAAAAAAAATATTTAAGTATCCACCAGCTTGATATTTAAATTTGCAACTTTTCATCGGTTTAAAATTCAAATATCCATCAGTGCATACAACACATGATTTAGGAAGGCATGAATAAAAGATGTGACCCGTTTAGAAACACTTGCATTGTACATGAAAAATAAAGTAGTATAAATTTCGAATCATTCACACTTTTAGAATCTTCTTAAAAAGCGCATGAAAAAAAATCTGCTTCGGGCTTGCCACACTATTGAAAGCTTGTAAAAATATCCATTTAAAAAAGTAATTGCATGCACTCAGGATATGTAATATAAAAATCCAATAAGATTTCAAAAGAAAAATGTTTCCTGTTTTGAATTGGAATACTACTGCATGTTAAATGAGATTTTGAATATCATCCATAATTTTTAAAAGAGGGTTTCATTTTTTCTTTAAACCTTAATCCCCTTCACTTTCTATTCCTCTGGTTTCCATTTCAAAGAAATCAGTTGAAGGTCATCACTTTTACCTTACCTTTTCAACCTTTCATCCAATTGCGAACACCAGTTGAGTGGTTGAGTAAAGTGACTTTTTGCTTTTTATATACATTTTGACTGCGTTTTTTTTTTTAACTTTAGCCTTATGAGTTCTTTTACGTTTTGTATTGTATTGTAAATTTTATTTATAGTCGGACTATATACACATAACAAAAAAACATGAGCTGTAAAGCTCTTTTACCGACTAGAACATAGAAAAATATAGCACTAATAAAATGTACATAAAAACATATAAGAGCAGAGTTATCACGAAGTTTCACGAAGACAGAAGTACATTAAAACACACAAATGTAACCAAAGACATTGATAAACACACATAAAATTAAAAGAAAGAAATAAAGACAAACATTTAGGCAACACACGAAAAAATAAAAGAATCAACATAAGAGAAACAAAAGGCTTAATACCAATGCCATGCACACATAAAAGAAGTAAAGGTTAAGATAGCACACTACAGTAAAACTATAACTTAAGACAATCATCTACATATGTAAAAACTAGGCATGAGGCATAAAAGTCTGAAGTCTGCAAGAGCTACATTTACAATTTAGTTCTCCACACCAAGTTGAAATATAATTTGAAAATTGGTTATAAGAAGAGAATTGCCTGGCTCCATTGGGCAGAGAGTTCCAGAGCTTTTCTGCCTCATACCTAAATGAGTTCATCCCATACATTGTTGTTCTTGGTCTTGGGACTTCTGCAGTATTTGTATATCTAAAATTGTATGAATTATTTTTGAAAACCAGATCTTGCAAGAAGACCGGACTTAAACCTTGGATAATTTTAAAAGTTTCTAGAGCAATGGCACGCATTCTTCTGGTTTTCAGAGATGGTAGTTTAGATTTGAGTAAAAAACTTTCATAAGAACTTTTGTAATCTTTATAAATAAATCTTAATGCTCTTCCTGAATTTTCTCTATTTTGCGAGTTCAATATATGTTCAATATATAATGTAATATATTTTCATCAATTGAAACAGTATCAAAAATTTTGTCCGACTGGAATTCCCAAATCATTTCCTTAACAAATTATCACCTGATATCTGAAATTTTCAACTTCTTTGTCAAATTCAGACATTTTCTCCTGCTTTCAGGTCTGTTAACAAAAATGTCATTAATTCTCCTAACGTTTATGAGTTACCTAGGCTTTCAACAGATTCTTAATGTAATTCATGGTTTGTCTAGTAGTATGGAAAAGTTTGTTAGGAAGTAAGCACTAGTTTCATGCTCACTGGTCCTTGAATAAAAGGAGTGCTCGGTTAACTATTGTATAATTCAAATTCTGGATTCATGGTCATTTATTACAGTGTACATATCGTAAATATCTTGTTTTAAAAGTTTTATATCAATGTTTTACAAAGTGTCGGTGCTATCCTTGGTATCATATTTGGCTCCCTCGCTGGATTGGCCACATTGATTGGACTTATTGTCTGCTTGTGTGTATGCGTATGCAGAAAAACCTCACCGAATCAAGGCACAGTTCTTTATTACAATCCCAACACAAATGCAGGAGCAACTGTGTTGCAAACTACCCAAACATGTAAGTGCGTTGAAAAAAATTGATAATTTTTGCAACACCAATATTTAGTCGACGTAAAACCAAATCTTAAACTTGTTTTTCAAAGTTTAAGGCAATTTTATTACTGGGTTTACAGATATTAAGCTTTCCAAGCTTAAACGGACAGATCAATTATGTCCTATTTTTCTAACGTTTCAGCGATACAACCTTACACTCAGCAAGGGTTTTACTCACCCTATCCTGTGCAGATGCAGCCATCTGGGCAGGCAACTGGGCAAAGTGGAGCAATTTCTGGTGCTTTACCTCCTCAGTACAGTCCACCTGAACAGTCTACCGAAAATGAAAATTCGACACAGAAATACTAGAGAAATATCGATTAATGGGCTGCTACATCATCGACATTCTGCATTATAATTGTTACCTGGTAAAGACCAGCTTTCACTTATCTTTACTCTGTTCTTTTCTCTGTTTGTTAATATATTATTTTTGTTAACAATCTCCAATTATTGTTAAATTATTTGTAAATGCTGTTTTTGAAACGCTTCTCAAAGAGGAATACTTTTTTTATAAATACTTTGATGACTGATAATATGTTAATCATTAAATTTGTAATTTTGATATTTCTAATAAAAGTATGAATGTTTTTGAAAAGACTGGGCGTAAAGAATTTAAATGAAATTAAATAAATCAAGAGATACACAAGTCAAGAAAATGGCAATCAGTCCTTCATTTACTATTTAAAAGTAACTTGTTTTCCCCAGATACACTGAGCTACATACAAGACAGTAACGTACCCTACGAAATATATGAGGGAATATCAGAAAGTTCGCGAACTAATTAAATAACTTCTAAAAAACAAATGATATAGGGTTTCAGTGTTGAAAATTTTTCAAAGTAGTCCTCTCCAAATTTAATGCGCATCTGCAACTATTCTGCCCATGCGCGGATCACGTGGTGTACATGTAAGCGGTCACGAGACGTGCGTCTTAGTGTTCTGTCACAGAGGCTTAAAATTTTTTTGTCTCATATTTCTTACCATGCAAGTATTTTTTGCAAAAAAACAGCCCATTTGTCAGAAATGGCATAATCTCGGCAATAGTATGGGTAGATAATGATATCCTTTTGCAGAATGAGCATGATGACCATCAAAACCCAAAATCTTATGTCTTTTGAGCGTCGTTTGTTTCATGTGGACAAAGTATGGGTGCCTTCACTTTATCATATTTTATATGTTCAAAGTCTAAAGTAAACGATATTTTAGGGATTTGATAATTGTATTATTGTTAAGATGTTTATCTATTATTCTACCTGTAAGTTGGTGATCTTTTATATCAAATTGCTTAACAAAGGACACGTCTCTTTCCCAGTTTGCTTTCATTACGGGCAACAGATCTAGAACAAACATAATTTTTAACCATCTCCCTTTCTTCACTTAACAATCAATCCAATTAATGACAAAACTTCTGGCAAGGTTTTTGTCTTCATAAACCGTGTACAAATTATTATAAACTTCTGCAATGGAATTTCCAACTTGAAGATTTACGTTTAACTTTACAGCTGTTCGTTTCTTGAATACGACTGAGTCAACCATTTTTTGTCACAAGTGATCTACTCTATGACGTCATTTTCACAATGAGACGTCACAATCACGAATTAAAAAATTCCATTACATATACTGTTTATAGAACATGTGTATGACTCTATGTAGGCCAAATTTCATTCTGATCTGAATTATGGTTTTGTAGATATAGAAATAGTTCGCGAACTTTTTGATCAACCCTCGTATATGAGGGTTATTCGAAAAGTTCGTGTACGATGTCAATCTGCGTTATATTTCCAACTAAATATTTAAAACAAGCACATAATATGTAAAAATACCTCTTTTGTTGATGTATGAAGTTTTATTTAATTCGATTTAACAGAAATCGATTTAATTAATTTTAAAATCAACATGTTTTGTACCCATGGAGCACATTTAACGACAATATAACACCAAAACAAAGCGTAAAGAATTTCTAAAAAATACTATGTCTATACATTCCTTACAGTATAATCCAATGCCTACTCATTAAATCCTTTTTCTAATACTTAACATTGATTTGCTCTCGTTGTATAATTTCCTTTGTAAAGGTACTAATATCTTTTATTACTGAACTCTGCATTCACAGGATAAGCAAATCTAAAGTTCTTATGTCTCTCCTTGACGTTCTAACATTTTAAACCGTTTCTTCACAGATTATACTAATCTGATACAGAGTCCCTGTCACTCAAATATTGTCTGTACTATTTGTACACACTTGCACAAGTTGCTCTTAATATTTTGTCTTAATTCCTGTAACATTTTTATAGTTTATTCAGGATTTATCCGGAGTAAAACACAAAAATACATCGTTATCTGCATCTCCGTGACGTTCTAAAACGTCATTGTTTTGTCGTTTTCAATGATGACTACCTATCTTCTCACGTTGATTTCTTTTCAACAAAGCAAAATATTAAGCCATAATTTGGAATACGTATTGAAATACGTAACAATTCTTTTTCTAGGTTGTTTTCCGTTTTTTGCTCCATTTTACAGAGAATATGACTACAGACATTATTTTAGTGTATCTTTTGTTACTAAATTTTTACCTGCTCCGCCAGCCGATCTTTGCATGTTTCAAACATAGATAAGTTTTAAACAAATCGTGATATTAAAAAAAAGATTAATAGAAATCATTTGGATTTATTGTTAAAATATTTCTACCAAATTTGGATAGCATATGACGTCAAATAAATAAGATATGACAGAATTCCACGAACGTTTTGAACAACCCTTCTACATACAAAGCAGGGTATCCCCTTTTCTGGTTCAATACAAATTAAATAGAATACATAGTATATTATCATCTTGTGCGTTTTTTTCTGTTCAATTTATTTCAATGTTGCTAAGTTACGAACTTAAAGATATGTCATTCGACTGTATATTCAATGAAATTAAGAGCCAGACCTTGGAAAAAGACCTAATGTCAATTGTTCCTCTTGCCAAATTATTTTTATGCTATTGAATGTCTCTATATGTTTGATTATCATTTAAAGTCGACATAATTAATCTCCATTAATATCCTTCATAATTTCAGTAACTTTTGTGATGTCTTATGTATAAACCATTTTGCATTTGACAATGAAAGCATAATAATAAAGGACAATGCTTTCCGTTTTTGCAGCCTTTGCATTGCGAAATATTCATGTAAGATGTACAATGAAGAAATTACATTTTTAAACAAGCATTCTGAGAGTATTGTATTAGCAATACATGTTCCCCACCGGGATCCCGTATTCTCTTTTGGATGTCATTTCATAATATCCTGCACGAAAAAGTGCCCTCAAAATGTGAATATTTCGGTAAAAACTTGTTTTATGGACTTTGATATTAAATACTGTTCGTTATCTCCATATCCTTGTTGTATATGAATGAAATATTTGTAAAAGTGTTTAAATGCCATTAGACATACATGTATGCTTTGAAATTAATCCGTACAGGTCATTTTACATGCATGGTTAAAATAAAAAAAATCGAACTTGTTTTTTTTTTCTCTCAAGCCTAGTGCTAGAGCGTTAGCTTCGTGATCGGGAGACCCGGTTTCGATTCTCGTTCGCGTCGCCGCGTCAAACCTTAGACGTAAACATAGGTAGTGACTGTTCCTTCGCCAAACGCTCGGCACTAGAAGTGAAAGTCACACGTCTTTCAGATATTAACTTGAAAATGTAGGTCCCGTGTCACTGTAGGCGTTGGCACGATGAAGAACAATCACTGCTCAATGGCCTTAAGTGCCGAGTATATTAGGTCTAAATTTGAAGTCCTTCGTCGGCAAACTTTGACATATCCAGATGAATGAAAAATTCTCGAGTGGGACCTTAAACAACAATCAATCTTTTTCTCGATTCATATTTACAAACTATGTTGTCATTCGGAACTAGCACTGAGTTAAAAGTTATCTCCCGTTATATTCCTTTCCTACATTGCTTCAATGCAGATAAACAGAACGCATTCTATCGTTAAACAGGTCCCAAGCCATAAATCATTTTAACGATAAAACATTCTATCGAGTTTGTAAATATAAAGCTACCCAGCAAGTTTAAAATCAAAAATTTTTAACTAGAGACAGTCTCGTTTGGGTCATTAATTTAGCGCAAGCACATCACAAACCCAATCTTAAACCACAAAACGGAATACTAGTATTAAAAATGCCGTAATTACTGTATAACGTTTTTTTTACTGCCATAAAATTTTACGAATTTTAGCTGAAATAAGGTGAAATAAGGTTCGTAAAAATTAAAATCACCGGAGGTGAAATACCTGATCAATGTTTTTAGCATTTTGAATGCGTTTGCATACGAATGGGCCTAATGCATCTGGAAAACACGATGTCAAAATCAAAAAATGAAATTATTCCCGCGATATAGAATGTCGATTCATTAAATTATGATTTGTTTGTTCATTGAATTACCTTAATATATCATTGCCCTTCTTCGATTCCTGTTTTTTTTTTTTTATTGAAACACAATTTGCTAAGTATCATGTTATTGATGAGCACCAAGATGCCAGCTGCATTTTACCGGAAATATAAAGAGACTGAGATAACTCAAACTATCATGATTTACTTGACACAATAAGCATAGTGTGTTAAAAAGTCATGTTTTTATTGAATGCAAACAAAACAGAAAAAAGGGTCAACGACTTTGAAAACGGGTGTAATTTGAAAAGCTGTAACAATTAAATCAATTTAAGAAATTATGTGTTTTGTAAAGGTAATCAGGTAAATACAGGATATTGAATATGCATTACAAGATTGGCATATGCATCACAAGATTTTGAACATACATCACAAAATTTTGTATATACATCACAGGATTTTTAACATACATCACAAAATATTGCATATACATCACAAGATCATCGAATACAGCAACGTTTTACACGCTATATACTAATGCATCATATACATACCCCGGTTAGATTGAGATAAAAGATACGACAGAGTCAAACATATCTGTTTCATATTTTTGATATTTTACTTGAAAAAACGTTAATGGTTATTATCTAACAACCAAGCTCTATGATAAAAGTGATGACTTTAACTTGACAATCTTCAGCTTCCCTTACGTATGCAGCAATGTACCTTCTTACGCAAGAGTATGCATTACGTATGAAAAAAAATTCTAAGGCAGGTAAATTACATGTATTGACAAACGGGTTGATAAAACAAGAATATCAGCTGTCTCGTTTAAAGTCATAATTTCGTAGGTTCTATGGTCGATACAATAACCTTGTCAGCAAATACAAATTATCATTGAGTCAAATGCTGTCAAACATTTATTGCCTGACGTCACGGCGTCAGGCTGTATAAGGATTGATATTTCCAAGATCCGAAAGTGTGTGATCATATCTAGAGAGCTAGATTTTGTGCAAGCTGATTTACATTGGAATTCTTTACCTGCATTTTAAAAGAAACAGTTTCCAGAAAAAAGAATGAAATAAATGGACTAGTCCAAAAAAATAAACAACACAGTTCAACTCATCGTCTCCGGATGCATGATCTATTATATGTCTCTGTTCAGATGCACACAGCAAATAAGAAAGCAGTGAAGAATTTTTCTTTCCACAAAGGCCTAAATATTGAATTTACTTATTTCATTCTCAATATATGATAGTGTCAATACACCCCCCCCCCCCCCGCCCCCGTTTTAAAAAAAAAATGAACACTCATTCTACTGTTTACGTCAGAGAAGAAAATACACTCCAACAAAATGTGTATTTAATTATATCCATCTTTTAAAATGTTTACAATGCATGATTTGATAACAGATTTTATAATAGGTGTTACAATGTAGCTTGACATCAATTTAGATCCAAAGGCAGATCACTCTACTTGCAGACACCCCCATCCCCCCCCCCCCGCAATAACACTCTTTAGTATGCAGTGTAGAGATGATTCTTCAACAAGTTAGATAAAATCAAGATTTCAATTACACAAGGTTCTCAAAATATAAAGTTAGAATATGTTTTAAACACACAAAAGTAATAATGCTCAAGAGGTTTATCACTCTTCATGCAGATAAATTGATTGATTAAGTCAGGCAAGCTATTTAAAAAGCTGTTACTTGTATAGTCAATAATAATTGTTAGTCCATTATTTATATACTAAATTGACGACGGATGTTTCCGTTATTTTCCGATAGTGACAAGGAGTACACAGCTGGTGTGAACAGTAGGCAAGGGATGCACATGATCACTGGCTCCTGACCCAACCTCTGATGTTTTGGAGGTCCTTGTTTGCTCTGCTCCTGTTTTGAATGCTTTATGGACTTTTGATCTTGAGTACGGTTATCTTCATATGTTTCATTAAACAATTTTTGATAAACCAATTTGTCAAAAGAGTCAAGTCTACTTTTTCATATTTAGTCTATCGCCTGGAGTAATTTTCCATAGAATTCTTGACATTTATGAAAATATGACTATCGTTCGAAGATCGAGGTTCCTTAATTTCAGCGCTTTTAAGATATTAAGTAAATTAAGGTCATCAGAATTTCCTATAGTAACGACACCAGTAATGACTTGTCCAAGTTTTCACAAAATTAAAGGCCTTATTTTTTATTTACTGAATTCGGCTATGGGATTATGCGTCTATATGATCAGTACAGATGCAACCAGTCGATCAACAGGAGATGAGTTCTCTCCACTTTTCCAAAGCCAACTTTCATTTTATTTTCTTTAAGCAATATTTCTTTCTCACCTTCATATGGTGTGTACGTCTCCGAACTTATTGATATTAAAGAGCAGGCCCAAGAACAATTAGTTTCTAAACCAGCGTAGGCTTGTGATAGATAAGTTGATGTCACAAAAAAATGAAATAGCGTTAAGAGTCAGGATTTTGTAAAATAATTTTGGTCGTTATTATGAACTTGTAGCAAATATAACATTTCATCGGGTCTTATTTTGCTGAATTTTTTTTAAAACAGATTTTTCGGTTAACTTTACAATTTAGAAATATATGGGACTTGAGAGTTGGGCCTTGGTTTTTTTATCTTTTGAATTTGACTATGTGATTCTTCGGCTATCTGATCAGTGCACTCGGCTAATAGCTGGTGGGACCAGTCGGTAGGTGTTACTTGATCTTTGTTGCCTGGAAATTCAAGGGGTCCGTTTTTATGACCTCTTCACAGAATTTGAATATATTGTTAAAAGATTTCTTGAGTTCGATCATTTTTCTTTATTCGAGGAAGGTTCTTTTAGTATGTATAATTGTTAAAAGATCCGTCACATTTACGTTTCTACACAGTGGATGTGAAAGACTATGATAATCGACATTGTAAATGTTGAAAGGACAAACCTAGTTTTCTCATATAGTATTCTCCCCGTGGCCTACGGAAAAGGACACTCGGTCAGGAACATAAAATAGAACTCGCATGAAAAACTTTTTTTTATTTTACATTCTAACTTCTACTGACAAAATCAAATGGTAAATTTATCTTTCATGTGGATGTTATATGTAAGAGATCTCTATATGAGTTTTTATACACCAACTATGTAAACAGAAATGTTCAAATGCAATTGAACTATTTCTTTAAATATGTACTATCTTAGATAAGAACAATCTTTTTAAGAAACAGATTTTTCGATTAACTTCACATTTTAGAAATGTATGGAACTTGAGAGACAATAGAAAGCTGCTGAATGAATATGAAACACGCCATTTAGGGCACATTATGACCTGACAGGAAATCGAAATTGCCTTTGAAATTATTTTTTGAACCTTTTGTTATTTAATTTTTCTGTAATGTAAGGTAATGTATGCCATATTAATAATCTAATAAGTAATAAAAAATCGAAATTATCCTTTTTTCAGATGATATACTTATGCATGCATGCTCCACATATCAACACGCCTTCAACTTGTTACCAATTGATTAGGATTTAAGACTTTTGGATTTTTTTTACCACGGTCAGACATATTTCTTGTCTTTATTTTTAGGTAAAGTTTTTTTTTATTTGTTCATTTGTTTTGTCTTGCATCTTGGTAAGATGATGTGGATGAATTTAAACATTAATGCATTTTTTCTTCCGTTCTTGTTTCTTTTCTTCTGCATTGCATAATATCAATATCTTTTCATCATTTTTTTTGCCATTTCTTTCCGGGCTTAGAGGAGGAAAACATTCAAGATTAAGTTTAGGATATGCAAGTTTTATTTTAAAAAAGTTGAATCACAATTTCCTTGTACGTTACACTTTATGTTGATAGTTTTTCATTCAATTTGAAACGTAAGATTATGACTTGTAGAACCTTGATGTACATGTATATATGTGAAATAAGCAGTAACAAAGATTTTGTGAAATTTAAATTAGATTTCAAACAGTGGTCTAAAGGGGTTGCGGATAAGATATTGGTACCCAAAAGCGCAACAGACGGACGGATGTAAAGCTAGTCAGACGGACGTACAGCTAGTAACACGGACATCCCGATCACTATATACCCCACTATATACATGTACCTGCTTGAAAAGCAGGGGTATAATTAAATAAATGGCTTGTAATAATTTTGAAAAGCATAGTTTAGCTATCAAGGACGTAACATAGATAACATTTCTTAACTTTCACCTCCCTTTGGTATGCAAAGGTATCCATAAATGTTACTACACAGGTAGCGGAATGTCTTCAAAACGTTTAAAAATATAGGAAAGAGAAATAGTGAAAAATCACATATTTTCGTGGTGTTAAATTTTCATGGTTTGAGTAAAACTTTTTGTTCTTGTGGATTTGATTTCGGGGATGTAGAATTGTTGAGTAGTTATGTATGTACATGAGTTCGATGGTCTCTTCTCCCCCCCCCCCCCCCCCAAAAAAAAAAAAAAAAACGAAAATTAAACTCAGGCTAAAATTTGTTATTTTCCAGTGAAAGAAATGATTTATTGTAAGTAGAGTACTTTTCCGGAACAACAGAGTCAATTTACGACTAGTAAGATTTAACGATATAGCCCTCTCTATTGAGTTATCTATTAATCTAATAGTATACTTAAACTTAAAAAAAAAACATGGAAGTGAATTGTCATGAGGAATTATAACTGAAAATCGACGTTAATAGTTTGTTATCCTAAATCGGTGGAGATGAAACTATTCACTTTTTTCTTCGCTCAGATTCTAGGTAAGAACATTTTAATGGAATTCGGAGCTAAACAAAAACGCTTATGATATCTGTAGTACATGTGAAAGTGATTTTAATAAAACGGATAAGCAATCATGTTTCTAATAAGTTTGAAAACGTAAGGAGCCTTCCGTCAAATATGTAAATACTAGTAAATTTCACAAAGCTATACAAAATATAGGAAAAAACTCTGTCGATCAGTTACTAATTAACATAAAAGGTGATATAAAGTTCACTGAAACGCTACTGAATGTTTGCTGAAAATGACTGGTTATTCACTGAAAGACTACTAAATGACAAGACAGATCACTCATTATCTTTTCAGTCATCATTTAGTAAACTAAAATCTGCAGTTTTGTTATGTCCTAAAATGTAATTATTTTACTTAATTTAGTGATTAAAAATGAAAGCATAAACTTTTAGATTATATTGATAATTTTCAAAAGGTGGAAAAAAGTCTTAGCCAGTTATTTAGCTTATAAAAGTAGTCTGAAGTGTTGCATTTCGGAATTGTTTTTAGACAATAAGTGTTGTTTTATTCATTTATCATTAGTAAAACATACACCAAATTACCGAAACCCCTTTTTCCTCTAGGCTTGCCCAAGGTGTTTGCTGGATGTTACCATGACAATTTTACTAGATTCGACAAATGCTATTTCTATAGCTACAACCTGTTCTCATATACTTTGGGGTAAACATTGCTGATTTTGTTGTTAATATTGTAATTGTTTTTGGTGAAATTTTGTTTGTGACTTAGATCTTATCAATGAACTATTTTCTATCCTTCTAAATGATGTTTACCGCAGTACTGGGGCAATCATAGGAATCATTATTGGCGCCCTCCTGGATTGGTGACGTTGATTGGATTCATCGTCTTCTTGTATTATATTCTATGCAGAAAGCCTACTCAAAACCAGGGTGTAGTTATCTACAACCCAAATACAACTACAGGAACTATAATACAAAACCAATCAGGTAAGAATAATTTAGGAAAGAATGAAACCCTGTTCATAGCAGATCGTTATATGTAGAACAAGTATAATTATTTTATATGAAATTATTTTAAAAAACAATATGAGTTCTGAAAGCTCTTTTATATATTGGTTGTTAACGAAATGATGTTTTTTTTTCTAGCTCACCTAAGGCGAAGGCTCAAGTGAGCTTTTTTGATCAAGTTTGTCTGTTGTATTTCGTCGTTGTTGTCGTTGTCGGAAACTTTTCATATTCTCATCTTCTTCTAAAGAACCACTGGGCCAATTTCAACCAAACTTGTCACAAAGTATTCTTAGATGAAGGGGATTCAAGTTTTTCTTTTTCAAACGAATGGCCAGGCCCTCTTCCAAGGGGTGATGATATGAATTAGTGATAAATTAATGGTATCTTTAAAAAAAACTTAACTCATGTAGAAGCATTCTTATCTAGTGAAGATTTAAAATTGTTTAAATCATGACCCCCGGGTGGGCCAACAATGGGGGATCAAATTTAAACACAGGAAAACATAGGGAAAATCTTTAAAAATCTTCTCAAGAACCACTGGGGCAAGAAAAATAAACTCATGTAGAAGCATCTCCTGGTAGTGAAGATTCAAGTTTATTCAAATCATTACCCCTGAGGGTATAGTGGGGCCACAATTGGGGGATCAAAGATTAACATAGGAATACATAAGAAAAATCTTTATCTTTTTCTCAAAGACAACAAAGTGGTGATTAATTGGTCATAGTTATATGGAAGCACCCTCTGGTAGAAAAGATTCAAGTTTTTTTTCAAATTATGACCCCTGGGGCAAGGGTGGGCCATTATGGATAATCAAAGTAGGACTACATAGAAAAAAAACTTCAAAAATCTTCTTTTTGAGAACAGCAAAGTTTTGATTAGTCCTAGTTATATGGTAGCATCCTCGAGTAGTGTAGATTTATTTCTTTTTTTCAAATCATGATCCCCTGGGGTAGAGTGAGGCCGAAATGGAGTATCAGAGTTTTACATGTATTGGGAAAAATCATTTAAATTCTTCACAAAGCAAAGATTGATCATCAATTTAAAAACATAATTAAAGTGGATCATAACAATAAACAGCTGAGCCATTATATTTCATATTAATTCAAAAGCATCGTTTAAACTCCCTCCCTCCTCCTTCGAACCCACTTTCATAATAAATTTAACTTTTCAATACTGAACTGATATTTGCTTTTACCCAGCCAGCTGCTCAGGTGAGCGTCGTGTCCCCCTGAACTCTTGTTAATCTGATCATCACAAAGTCATAGCCATAAAATGGCAACATTGTATATTTCCTTCTAATTATCATCATAAAAACGTTTCAGTAATGCAACCTAGCAATCAACAAGGACTATACCCAGCTAATTTTGGTCAGATGCAGCCTACTGGGCAAGGCGTAGCAGCCTCTTTTGCTTCACCTAACGAATACACTCCACCAAAATAGTCTACTGAAAATCAAGATCCCCCACCGAGAAAACTTTTTTTTTGTTTTGTTGCTTTGGTTTTCTTATCATATTATTTTTGTGTACGTTTGTATTTTCTTGCTTTTATTTTATGATTTAGCTAGCAACTTCAAATGTAACAAGGAAATTCACAAATTCTATACAAACACAAAGGAAGACAAGGCCGTTTGAATCATTTCACATGCACATGGTTTGAACAATATCTGCATTCAATAAGTGAAATCATTGTATTTTTATATTTTGATCAGTTACGATATTAAATGAGATTCCATTTTTTTATATAGCAAACAACCTACGGTCCATATATTGCATCAATAAAACTGTTGTAGAATGTTTGCTGTACTTTTCATGTTTTGTGGGGAAGGCGGTGTTCACGTGAAAAATGAGCAATTCATTTGCCAATGCTCTTTTTTTTGGTAAAATTGAGGATCATTGTTCATTAACAAAGCCCGCCTGAAAAAACGAGAAATAATATCAATTAAATGAGATATTCGACAGGTGAAATAAAGTGTAAATGAATATAACAAAACTATTTTGTACAATTAAAGTCCTTTCAAAATGTCATATTATTTCAAAAATAAGATTTTATTTTTATACTGCTGAAATGAAGTAGTTCAAACTGTGTTTTAATGCAGTGTGGCCCTTCAGGACTAATTTCAGAGGGTATTGATGTTTTAGATTTTCTATTACATTTTCAACAATTAAGGCTTCATACTTTTGAAATGGGTCTATAATTATAGTCTGTAAACACAGACTGCTGTTACTTAATGACCACTTACTTTCAATATATCTTTAAATATCTATGATAAGTGAAACTGTGTGACCGGTCAGGAGGGGAAATTCACACCTCCATGGCACCTGATCCAACCTCTGATGTTTAAGAGGTTCGTATTTGCTCTGCTCCTATTTTGAATTGTTGAATTTCTTGGACCAGATGGTTTTTGTAAACGAGTTATATCTGACATTTAAAATAACTTATCGATACATGAACATTTTTGTATAAGATGGACTTACATGTACATAATTCTGATATACTCTCTACCTATAACACTAACATCCTTTTGTGAATTGGTATTTGGAATATTTTGGAAAATCCAGCTCTTACAGTACGTCTGTGATACGATGAATCTTCCTTATTCAAGGAAACTTACAGAGAATTTTACTATTTTATTCCATGAGGAAATAGGGGATGTTTGGAAACATCTGTAACGGTCTCCTTGACAATTAGAACTGGTTATCTTAAAAATCACCCCGGCTGTATAAACATTTTGTTCACAATTTATCCATTTGTTATTTAAGATTTCACACAATGATTATTCTGCAATAAATACTATAGAAGCTTATACAACTAGTTTTTTTGATTGTTGACCAGCTGTGGGAATCTTACCCGCTACTCTACTTACAAACCTTTGGCCTTCAGTGCTGCCAAAAGTTGGGATTATTTTTCGCTTGAAACCTTGTTAATTAATCTTTCAAAATGTTTAATTTTTATGTGCTTTTAAATTCTGTTGATGACGCAATCTGTGTGTGTGTTAAGATTAAAAAAATCATGTGAGGTAAATAATCTCAATTTTGATAATACTTGTACTGTAAAGGCTTAGGGTTTGTATTGGATCAAAAATGTTAGGGTAGCCAAGGTAGTATTTTGCAAGATTCAATGTTTTTATTAAATCAATTTTTAATAACCACATTCAGGAAAGATCTAGCCTCTTTCAAAAGTTAGATATTTTAGCACAGAGGTAAACTGTGCATCATAAGTATATGAGCGCATATTGCCGCCCTAAATAACAATTTGAAAATTCACAAGTTCGAGAGTTGTCCAAAAAGTTCGAGGACAATGACGTTTTTTTGAAAATAAATGGTTCTATATAAATATTTTGTATATCAAAATATTTTTATGAAATAAAAAACAGAATGATTTAATTTTTATTGATGGGACGTAATAGTTTTGTAAAAATCGGGGTCTTTAAAGGTCGCGGATAGTGCGCACGGACCAAGATTAAAATGACAAACTCTGATATATGGTGTTCGGATTAAAATGACTATTTTCTGTATAAGACAAGTCAAAAATTAATAAAGATTTTGTGTAACACAAATAAAGAGGCTATAATTATTTATGATATCTTAAGTATCGCTTACTAATATAGACAGTACAAATACTAAAGAAAAATCCTAACAAATATGTGTCAAAACTCGACAAAAAAAAAGCGACGTCGGCCGTCCGCACGGGGCAGCGTCCGATCAAAAAATTAGTTTTTATACGGTTGAAACAACGTAAGAGACAAAATATATTTGTTAAAACAACTCAATTTATTGAAATATATTTAGTGTATCAATTTCAGATTGGTATATACGATTTTTCAACGGTATGTACAAATTCAAAGACACTACAAGAATTTAAAAACACATGTAACTTACTGAAAACAGAGATTTCTATTCATGACTTTGTTATCAATCTAGCGCAGCGTTGGACTGGACTGTGCAGTTTGTGTATACAAACTGTTTATTTAGATTTAAATTTCGATAAATTTTTGTGCATTGTTTTGGATTTTAAAAATTAGATCAATTTTAATCTATACTTAAAGATTACTGCTAGCACTTGGAAATGCGTTGAGCCTTAAAAAGAAGTGAAGTGTGTGTCCATGAACATGTGTTGAGTCAAAATCCAAATGTCTTACGTTATAATGAAATTAACTTAACATCAGACTGGTCCGTGCGCAGAATCTTCGATCTTTAAAGAACCTGATTTTTACAAAAATATTAAGTTTCCTAAATATAGATTAAACCATTTTGATTTGATTTTTCATAAGAAATATTTTGATATACTATAGATGCATATAGAACCATTCATTTTGACAAAAGCGTCATTGTCCATGAACTTTTTGGACATTCCTCGTATAACCAATGATCTTCTCTGAGATACATGACTTAATTTGTAAATAACCCTTTACACCTAGAAATAAAACTTCAACGTCCAACCTCTCTAAAATGTTTTTCTCTAGAATAACTTAGTATACATGTATTACCTTTAATTATTCTAACATAATTTCATATTATCTATTGATATATGAGGGAATACAATGTACATGTAATATCTAAATAAACATAAATTCAGACTGCTTGAGATCATGGATTAAGTCTTAATGTATATATATCCACACTTTATGATTAATACTGTTCTGAAGAAACATTAAAAGCAAAAGAGATACAAAGAACAAATTAGTGTCGTATATCTTGAGTTGATTCAGTTTACGTCTGTATCACAATTTTTTAAAAAGACAACTGGAGGGGGATTCACGTATGATTCGGTGAAATACAGTATGCTCTGTCTTAGAAAAATGGGGGTTTTGCAGAAGAGCTGTGCTCATTTGTGGGAAGCCAAGATATCTCTAAATCTAAAGTCACACTATAAAAAGTAAGAATGTGGAAACGTCAAGAAGGATTTTCTGTATAAACCAACGACAAGACTTCCTTAATTCTAAGGATGAACTGGAAATATTAATCCTTTCCTTGGCTCAGTTTCTAGGTAAGAAAAGTTGAGTAATATTTTTAATTTCAAAAACAAGACAGATGTTTATGAGGTTTCTTTCTATCAGTGTTCGAATCACGCTGTTGGACGTGGAGACCGGTCCTTCAGATGAGACCATTCAAACCGAGATCCCGTGTCGCAGTAGTGCTGACACGAAAAAGATCTCTCACTGCTCAATGGATCTAAGTGCCGAGCATAGTACAACAAATTTAGCTCTTAACCGGCATGTTGGCGTGTGAGTGAAAATTCTCAAGAGCAACGTGAAACAACATATACAGTACCGACCAGACCCAACCTGACACAATGCAATCCCAGAGCAGTCCCGGGGACTGCTTTCTGGGACTGCTAAGGCAGTCCCACAGCGGTCCCAGTGCAGTCCCACAGCGGTTCCAGAGCAGTCCCACAGCAGTCCCAGAGCGGTCCCAGCAGTCACAGCGGTCCCAGTGGGCGGTGTTCATTAATTTTATGAGCGGAACTAACTCATGAATGAGATTTCCAATAAACAATGGAATTATAAAAGGCAGCTGAAATTTATTCTGAGTAGTATGCCAGGAATCCTTACTATGCGAAATTCTTTAGAAAGTTATATCTTATCAGAGGGAATATTACACCTTAATGTTTTGGATAACAATGATTAATTGATTGATTGTTTAACGTCCCTCTCGAAAAATTTTCACTCATATTGAAACGCCACCTTTTGCCTGTGGAGAGCTACCAATTTTATCCTATACTTGGCACTCGAGCCATTTAGCAGGGAAGGATCTTTTACGTAACAGCACCTACTGCGACACGGGACATTGGTTTAAACGATCTCATCCGAAGGACCGGTATCCGCGTCCCGCAGTGGGAATGTAACCCACGACGTAAGGATTTACTCCTTACTTTGAGACTCTAGAGCACCAACCACTGCGCCACGCGGGCGACTGTAAACAAGGAAGAACTCTTATTACAAATGAGACTAGAGGTACTGTGAACAATTAGCTCACTAAATGGTATTCCCATATGGTCATAGTGGCAAAGTTCATGTTTTCCTATAGAAAACCCAAAATATGTTTTCGATCAAAATATAAAATATGAGATGCACAAAGACAATGTACAACAAAGATTTTGTGAAAGTTTAAATAAAATTCAATCAGTGGTCTAAGAGAGGGTAACGGATAAGAGATGGGTACCCATAAGCGTACCATACGGACGTTCAGAAAGCTAGACGGATGCACAGGCAGCTAAACGGACATCCCGATCACTATATACCCCTTGCTTTTCAAGCTGGTATACTTTTTAAAAAGCACATTGTACTTCAAGAATGTAACTTAAGTATTTTTTTTACAACATTACTTATTTTTCAGCTCCTGTGAGATGCAAAGGTATATATATAAATGTTACTACATGGGTAGCGGAATGGCTTCCAAAACGTTTTAAAATATATGAAAAAAAAATGATTTATCGCAAAAACAGTACTTAACCCATACAACAGAGTCAGTTCACGAAGAGAAGATTTAACGATAGCCCTCTCTCTTGAGTTATCTATTAATCAATACTTAAACTTTTTAAAAAAAAAAAAACACGGAAGTGAATTGTCATGAGAAATTTTAACTTTTTAAAAGTTTGTTTTTCTATCGATGGAGTTGAGACTATTTACTTTTCTCTTCGCTTTCTTCTCTCAGATTCTAGGTAAGAACATTTTCATGGAATTTCAAATCTAAACAACAATCGTTTATGATACCTGTAGTACATGTGTTAGTGATTTAAATAAAACGGATAGTGTAAGTCGTTCTAATTCCACGGTGTTTAAATTTCACGATTTCTCAAAATGTACCAATCGCGATTGTTCTAATTTCACGCTGCAAGAAATTAATTTAAAGCATTTAACATCTTTATAATCTAATGATAGCATTCACGATGGGTTTAATTTCGCGGAAAAATGATAGATTGCGAACAAAGTGAAATTGAAGCCATCGTGAATATTTGCCAATTTACAGTGAGTTACTATATATTTAATAAGTTTGAAAACAAATATGTAAATACTAGTAAATTTCACAAAGCCAAATAAATTTCTCAAACACCTAAACTTTACAGATAGGAAAAAAACGATCAGTTGCATAAAAGGTGATATAAAGTTCAATGAATGGCGACTGAATGTTTACTGAAAATGATTGATTTGTCACTGAAAGGCGACTGCATGGCAGATAGATCACTCATTATCTTTCCAGCCACTATTCAGTTAACTAAAATTTGCAGTCTCATCCAGTCCTTAAATGTAAATTAGAGATTGAAAATGAAAGCCTAAAGTTCTAGTTGATATTGATAATTTCAAAAAAAGTAAAAACAAGTCTTAGCCAATTATTTGGCTTTAAAGAGTAGCCTGAAGTTTTGCATTTGGGATTTTTTAAAAGACAATTACAGTTGTTTTATTTGCTTATCATTAGTAAAACAGACACTAATTTTACTGAAGAACCCTTTACCTCTAGGCTTGTCCACGGTATTTGCTGGATGTTACTATGACTATTTTACCAGTACCCACAAATGCTATTCCTACAGCTACAACTTGTCTAGTCTCTCATACACTCTGGGGTAAGAAATGCAGATTTTGTTGTTAATGGTTTAAATTTTTTGGTGAAGTTTGTTGTTTGAATCAGATGAACTATTTTCTATAATTTTTAATGATGTTTACCGCAGTACTGGGGCAATCATTGGAATCATAATTGGCGGCCCTCGCTGGATTGGCAACGTTGATTGGATTCATCGTCTTTTTGTATTATATTCTATGCAGAAAGTCCACTCAAAACCAGGTTGTAATTATCTACAACCCCAACACAACTACGGGAACTATGATTCAAAACCAATCAGGTAAGAATGATTTAGGAAAGAATGAAACCCACATTCATAGCAGATCATTGAATGCAGTACATGTACAAGTATAATAATCTTATCTGAATTTATTTACAAGAGGCTGAGCTCTGCGAAGCTTCTTTAAATATTGATTTTAATGACATTAAAATTTTTCTAGCTCATCTGAGCCGAAGGCTCAAGTGAGCTTTTCTGATCAGGTTTGTCCGTTGTCTTTCGTCGTTAATGTTGTTGTTGTCGGAAACTTTTCACATTTTCATCTTCTTTTAAAGAACCACTGGGCCATTTTCAATCAAACATGCCACAAAGTATCCTTGTGTGAAGGGACTCAAGTTTGTTCAAATGAAGGGCCAAGCCCTCTTCCAAGGGGAGATTTTAATGAAATAGTGATAAATTAATGGCATCTTTAAAAAATCTTCTTCTCAAGAACCACATGGCCAGGAAAAATGAAACTCATGTGGAAGTATCCGCAGGTAGTGTATATGTAATTTTGTTCAAGCCATTAAAAAATCTTCTCAAGAACCAGAGGTTCATGAAAAATGAAACTCATGTAAAAGGATCCTCATGCAGTGAATATTCAAGTTTGTTCAGATCTTGACCCCCAGTTGTAGGGTGGGGTCACAATAATGTTTTATCAATGTTTAACATAGGAATATATAGGAAAAATCTTTAAAAATCTTCTTCTCAAGAACCAGTGGGCCAGGAAAGATGAAACTCATGTAGAAACATCTTTTGGTTATATATTCAAGTTTCTTGAAATCATGACCCGCAGGTGATGGGTGGGACCACAAATTTATATCATAGTTTAACATAGGAATACATAGGAAAAATCTTTAAAAATCTTCTTCTCAAGAACCACTGGGACAGGAAAAATATCACGCATGTAGAAGCATCATCTTCTAGTGAAGATTCAAGTTTGTTCAAATCATTAGCACTGGGGGTAGGGTGGGGCGAGAATGGGGTATCAAAGTTTAACAAAGGAATACATAGGAATTTTTTTTAATAATCTTTTTCGAAAAGACAACAAAGCCGTGATTGATCATAGTTATAATGAAGCATCCTCTGAAAGTGTAGATGCAGGTTTGCTCAAATCATGACCCTCGGAGGTAGGGGTACAATGGGAAATCAAAGTTTAACATGGGTATATACAGGGGAAATCTTTAAAAAAAATCTTCCCAAGAACAGCAAAGCCACAATTGGTCACAGTTATCTGGAAGCAACCACTGGTAGTGAAGATTCAAGTTTGTTCAAATCATGACCCCTGGGGCAAGGGAGAGGCCGTTTTGGACGATCAAATTAAGATAAAATAGAAAAAATCTTTAAAATTCTTCTTTCTGAGAACAGTAAAGTAGTGATTGGTCCTTGTTATTTTAAAGCATCCTCAGGTAGTGTAGATTCAAGTTTGTTCCAATCATGGCCCCCGGGGTAGAGTGGGGCCAAAATGGGGTATCAGAGTTTTCCATACGAAAACATGGGGAAAATCACTAAAATTCTACACAAAGCAAAAATTGATCATTAATTTAAAAACATCATTAAAGTGGATCTTAACAATAAACAGCAAAGCCATTGTGTGTCATATTAATTCAAAATCCTTGTTCAAATCCCCCTCCTCCCTAGAATCCACTTTTATTATATTTTTAAACTTTTCAATACTGAACTGATTTTTGCTGTTACCCAGCTAGTTGTTCAGGTGAGCGATGTGGCCCCTGGGCCTCTTGTTAATGTGAGCAAAGTCATAGCCATAAAATGGCTATATACATGTAGTATATTTTCTTATTATTATAATCATAAAAACGTTTCAGTAATACAACCTAGCAATCAGCAAGGACTACATCCAGCTATTCTTGGTCAGAGGCAGCCAATTGGGCAAGGCGTAGCAGCCTCGTTTGCTTCATCTAACGAGTACAGTCCGCCAAAACAGTCTACTAAAAATCAAGATCCACCTCCGAGATAACTTTTATTTGTTTTTGTATTTGTTTTGTTTTGTTTTGTTGTTGTTGTTGTTGTTGTTTTTTATTTTTGGTCATATTATTTTTTGTATACATTTGCATTTACTTGCTTTTATTTCATGATTTAGCTAGCAACTACAAATCTAACAAGGAAATTCACAATTTCGATACAAACACAAAGGAAGACAAGTCCGTTTGAATCATTTCACATGGTTTGAACAATATCTGCATTCAAGAAGTGAAATCATTGTTAGTTTATATTTTGTTCATTAACGATATAAAAACATGAGTATCCATTTTTCTATACGCTAACAACCTATGGTCCATACATTGCATCGATAGAACTGTTGTTGAATGTTTGCTGTACTTTTCTTTTTTTTTGTGGGGAAGGCAGTATTCACATGAAAAATGAGCAATATTTTTGACAATGCTCAATTTTTTTATTGTAAAATTGAGGATCATTGTACATAAACAAAGCCCACCTGAAAAACTAGAAATAATATCGATTAAATGAGATATTTGACAGGTGATATAAAGTGTAAATAAATATAACAAAACCATCTTGTACAATTAAAGTCGTTTCAAAGTGTGAGATTATCTTAAAAATAAGATTGTGTTTTTAAAGTACTGAAAATGAAGAAGTTCAAACTGTATTTAAATGCAATGTGGCCCTTCAGGACTAATTTAAGAGGGTGTTGATGTTTTAGATTTTCTATTACATTTTCAACAATTTAGGCTTCATACTTTTGAAATGGGTCTATAATTATAGACGCATCTATGATAAACGAAATTGTGACACGATAGCGGTGTTTTTCTTTGAAGTTTACTGTTCTGTATTAGCAATACAGAACGGGACTGTGGTGGGCGGAGCTACTTTCCGTTCTGCATTAGCCTTGTATACAGTATTGTATTTGCCAACTATTCTGTATCTAAAATACAGCACGGTCTAAAAATAAATCTGATTCAATTTAGCAAAGCTAGCACGTACACATAATAAATACTGATGTTTTCCTATTATTAATTTTTAAGAAATACCCGGTAATTTCCTGAGAATGTAGAATGTCAAAATTTCTCAATCACTTTCTAAAAACTTATTCCACACAGAATCTACACGTAATTTCGATCGAAAGTAAAAAAAAAATCGCAAGAAAGGAAAACATCCTCTGTACCTAATTTTGTACAATCCACACGAAACAGAAAATTCGCTATCACGGAAAAAATCCTTCTCGCTGACAACAGCCACACGACTCTCTCACTTCGTTTTTAATGTCGCAATTCAATTTGAAAATAAAAATCCCTGACATCAAAGTCCATCGAAGAATTTTCTGTAAATCCTGTTTTTGTAAATCTAGTTAAACCGGGATTTTAAGACCCCTGAAATAAATTATGATAAATCTCCATCTACAATTATAACAATAGATCACAACAATTACGGTTAAATCCTCCAATTTATCCATTAAGACTGACTATCACTCCATTACGTCTACCCCGTTAAATTGTCAAAACAAATCTGACCGAATTTTACGTTTTCCGTGGAAATATATATACTGCGGATGCGTACTCCCCGTCGGGGCCTCATCTACAGAACTCTGGCGGAAGTTTGGATGCTGCAAAGTTATAAAGTGGGCGGAGCTATTTTTGATTGATCGTGTCACAAATCATTTAGAGAACTCGACAGGTTCTGTATCGTAGATACAAATTTGGGGGCGGAGACTCGTGCTTTCGCACTCGCCTGCCCCAAAATTTTTATCTACGATACAGAACCTGTCGAGTTCTCTAAATAATACTTGTGTGACCGGTCGGGAGGGGAAATTCACACCTCCAGGGCACCAGATACCACCTCTGATGTTTAAGAGGTCCGTTTTTGCTCTGCTACTACCCGGTATTTTTAATTGCTTTATGGACATTTGATGTTGAATACTGTTAGTTATCTCCATATGCTTCATACATATAATAAAACTTAAAATAATTTTGACAATTTATAATCATATTAATTAGATTTAGTATTTTATTGACTGAAGTCAGATGATTAGCCCTGGTTTCTTGGACCAGCTGGTTTTTCTAAACGAGTTAAATCTGACATTTAAAATAACTTATCGATACATAAAAATTTTTGTATAAGATGGACCTACATGTACATAATTCTGATACTCTCTAGAGGGCTATAACTCTAACATATTTTTGTGAATTGGTATTTGGAATATTTTTGAAAACAAGTTGTTACAGTACGTCGATGATACGAAGAATCTTCCTTATTCAAGGAAACTTACAGAGAATTTACTCCATGAGGGAATAGGGGATGTTTGGAAACATCTGTAACGGTCTCCATGACAATTAGAACTGGTTATCTTAAAAATCACACCGGCTGTATAAACAATTTGTTCACAATTTATCCATTTGTTATTTTAGATTTTACACAATCATTATTCTGCAATTAATACAATATAAAAGCTAATACAACTTTTTTTTTGATATCTTTTTTTTTTTTTTTTGGCTTTTCTTTTTTTTTTTTTTTTTTTTTTTTTTAATTGCCCCAGCAGTATATGATTACATGAATGGCGCCAAGGTATATACATAGAATATATATGTATGAAAAAAAATTATGAAATCTTATGATGTACATTGTAGTCATACTTTTAAGATGAAAAATATTTCCAAGAAATGGCATCAACATCTCTATGATATATGATAATGCTGATCAAATGACTATTCACTTTATCGGGAAGTATATATGAACATGTTACATGGCACTATTATTTGTTAATGAACTAATTTCAATATGAACACTGTAAATTCAACCAGGACAATTTTTCAATGAAAAAAAAAAAACAACTAACAAATCCTTTCACACCACATTCATACAATATATGTATGTATCGACAGATAAGTTATCCAAAAAAAAACAAACAAAAAATGGATAGCATAGTGATTTTAAACAAGTACATAATTATTATAAGCATGTGCAAGAAAAATTTAACCATTAGAAAACAATGAGGAAAAAACACCCCATCTCTTTTCAAATATAGGCAAATCATTATTTTTTTTATACATAAATCTTTCAATTTTATAGTAATTACTAATTTCTTTTTTAGCTCCATCAATGGTTGGTAATGTCTTACAAAGTCTTTTCTTATAAATATGTCTTTTTACTATACATATTAAAAGGTTCAGTATAATATGGTATTTACCATCTCTACCAAGTATAACATCTATAAGGTTTATTTCAATGTTCTGGTCAGTTTTATCATTAATCCATTCTACTAGATTATTCCATAGTATATCAACATATAAACATTCCCAAAACAAGTGGGTGATCGATTCAGGATGCATACCATAAAAAGTACAGAGATCAGAATTTACAATCCCTATCTTTTTTAAATAAACATTAGTGCTCAAAATTCTATGAACAATTCGATAATGAAACCATCTAAGTTGCATATCTTCAGTGATACTAAAAATAATCTTATTATGAGTTTTCCACCTCATTTGGTTTACATTCAAATCTAAAGCATTTTCCCATTTACTTTCATATTTAGGTTTATTCCATCTAGAAGAAATTAATATATCATAAAAATCTCTTGATCCCTTTTGACTCTTGAAAATTGTTTTGAAGAAACTGGGATAATAGGGAGAGTTATAAAGAACATCCTTAACAGTATAAGTTAAATTCAATTTTCTGACATTTTGTATGACACCATGAAATAGTGTAAAAGGGGTTGACAGATTATACACCTCACAGAATTCTTCAAAACTCACAGGCTGGCCATCAGGAAGAAACAAATCTTTTATGTACTTTACACCTTTTTCAGCCCAATGTTTAAAGTATATACAGTTGTTAGATATCTTAATATTGTCATTGTACCAAAGAGGATCTAGCATAGACAAGCTGTCAGACTCGATTATATTTCTTAATTCGTAAAAAGCATCAAAAACATCTTTCCAAAAATGATTTGAAATTCTATTGGAAATTAATCTTGTAAAACTGTTACCATAACAGGGAAGGAATTCTACTTCTGGTGTTATACTATAAAGCAAAGTTTTCCATGCAGAAGCATTAACATTGCTAAACAATCTACGAATCCATGTAATTTTTAAACCCTTACAAAAATCTTTAACACTTATCATTCTTAAGCCACCTTTTTCATGGCACTGTATTATACAATTCTTTGCTACCTTAGGAGGTTTATTGCTCCAAATAAAATTAAAAAACATTTTCTCAAGATCCTGTAAAAATTTAAGGGGAGGATTCGGCAAGGAAATTAACAGGTGGGTAATTTTAGGAAAAATGATTGACTTTACTACTGTAATTTTGCCGGCTGTTGTCAACAGTCTTTTTGACCAAGAGCCAATTATTTTTTTTCATTTCAACAAGTTTAGATTGGAAATTAAGTTCATTCATAGAATTTGGGTCCAAATCTACAGAATAAGTTATACCTAATACAGTGAATGGTTCCTGAGACCAATGGAGATTAAAATCTGAGCAAATATCAACCTTTTCTTGAGACATGGAGCCAATTTTTATGCATCTAGTTTTTTCATAATTTGGTTTAAGACCAGAATATTTAGAAAACTGATCAACCAGTGATAGGGCACAAGTAAGAGAAGCTTTTGTACCATCCAAAAGGATGACTGTATCATCTGCATATTGCAATAGTCTATATTCATTTCTTTTAATAAAAATTCCTTTGATAGCAGGATTGTTTCTTATCATAATACCCATGATTTCAGCGCAAAGTACAAATAAATAGGGTGAAATGGGGTCCCCCTGTCTACAACCTCTTCCAATATCAAAAAATTCTGAAAATATGCCATGCTGGATTACACATAACTTTGCATTTGAAAACAACAATTTAAACCACTTTATGAACTTTTCACCAAAACCAAAGAATTGTAGAACTTTAAAAATAAATCTCCATGAAACTGAGTCAAATGCTTTCTCAAAATCAATTAGAAGAATAAGTCCTGGGATCTTTTCCTCATTACAATAGTGAATAACGTC